AAAAGGAAGTGTGATAGTGTGAAGAAAACTTTTATAGTGATTGAATTATTCGTTATATTATCGGTGAATGGATTGAACAAAGCTTTGTATTGAAAAGCCAAATATTACACCTTTGAATTTCCTCAAGAACCGAGAACGATTTTGTCGGGATGATTTATTTCCTACATCCACGCTGCTTCCGATCTTTCCTTGAAATAAACTTCATAATATTATTCCGTGTATACCTGTCCTCGTAACTCTAAACTCCAAAGCGTCAGTTTTCGTAGACCTCGTAGGGCTTCCGGTATCTTCCGTTTTTCCCGCCGCAACCTCAGCAGCATCGGGGGGATTTTCGAAACCTACAGCGGCGGCCATTTATCCAGAGTTCACATCCACGCCCAGAATCTCAGATCTTCAACCGAAATTTCAACCACTTTACACGGATTCCCCCCCCCCCCCAAGTTCTCCATGGTCAGAATAAATTGAGTTGGTCAACTTCCTGAGGGAAAATTCTGATTCCCCAATCAAGTACTTCATGCGCAGTTTAAACCCGAAGTTTATAGAAAGAAGTGCGAGACGCGAGAAGACACGAAATTCAGGTCACGCAGACGCCGTAGGTACGTTTCGGTACGTTTCATACCCTTTGATGTAGTTAAAAATAAGTTGATCTTTAGAGCTTTGCTGGACTTGACCAAAACAGGCTCAAGCACGTACACCAGGTTAAAATGTCGCTTACATAAGCAGCCAGTAACTGCATGCCTGCTATAGGGAGTAGACGACCGTGTACAGTACTGTCAAATATCGAGTTTCTGGCAGAACGAAACGAAAAGAAGGAATATTCTATAAATACCATATTTCAAAAAAGCCATAACTGATAGCGATGAAGGTATTCCTACAGATATGAAATCCTACTTGGGATTACCATTTCAAAATCTTACTCACGGTAATCATGAAATTAAACTGCTCTTCAAGGAACAAAGACAAATAAATCCAGTTCAGCTCTTTGAATTAGCAACATGATGTTCAGTACAGACTAACACACAGTATGATGTATTCATATCAATAATATTCTACTGTATAAGAGACGCAGGAATTGCCTTGCGATGATCGTCATAAAAAGACTCGAAATGATAAAGGATGAGAGCTAAGGGGATTTTACGGAAGTCTCACAGAGTTCCTCGACGAAATGCCTTATTGTACTTCCATAAGTCACATTTCAGCCCTTCCTTTAATATTGCTTACTTAATGTTCTATCTTTACAAATGGAAGGTAGTAAAAAAAGATTTATTTGGATATGGCTTCATTAGATGGGCAATTAAAAATTATATCTCAACTAGTCTTAACGCGGGGTACGTATCCGCAATAACAGTTATGATTTTTTTTATCTTGAAATTAGACCAAATACTATCACAAATAAATCTTCAAGGGTCCTTTCCTTGGAATTCAACGAATAAAGTAACCTACGTAATTCCGAAATTCCGTATCTTTCCCGTCGAGGTACTTGTTGGTAGGAGTAACACGAACTTTTCTGTGTTGAAAAGTAAGCGTACGAAAGCTTCGATTGAGAATTTTCATGAATTTTTTCTTCAATTATAAGTCAAGCAGTACCATAATGAATATTCAGCTTTCAAGCATCCTGAAAATCTTGATCTGACAAATGCGACAGCTTTTGTGATCGTCCCTTGGGAATAAAACTTAGCCTTGAACAGAATGTTTTATGGGCAGTTGAAGAGAAGCTCACGATTCTTTCGTGCATGATCCGATCAATGGAATTATTATTGCAGTATTGAGTTTGTGGGAATCTAAAAGAAGAAGTTTTATTCAGCGATGATGATAGGATCAAAGAAACAATACAGGCATTTAACAAAATAGTTTTCCTCCTAAGCAGATATTCCATATTCCGTGCGATAATTGATTTCAAGAAAACGCCGGGCTCAAATGTCTCTAAAACGCTATGTAAATTAACTGCAGCATTACAGAAATTCGTAAAAAAATCTTTGGAACGAAAATACACGAGTTATCACGCATTCATCCATAACGTTTATTTATTGCGAGGAAAATGCAGAAATGCCACGTGAGGAGCTTTAAAAGGAAAGTGACGAATAAGGAAGAAATTCCCATTTCAGATCGGAAAGCCTTCACTTCTGCGGTTATCGAACATAATTGCCTAATAACTAACTATTGCAGGCATCCTCCAGGATGAGGATAACATTAAGATACATGAAGTATCACCTTGGCAGAGTATATAATTATACCAAACTCACCAATTCAGAAGGCTTCACAGTGGGGGAAGCTCGAAGTGACACCTTTGCAAGGTGAATGGAAAAATTGCAGTGCTATAAGGGTTGATCTTATTGACGAATCATCTTAATTAACAGACATTCGCGAGTAAAATTTATTGAAGTGGTTTACTAACTCCAACCTGAACAAATAAAAGTTGAACCTCGAACCTCCCCTAGACCTAACAATACATATCAATTTTTTTAACAAACTTCACAAATTGCGTAAGAAACGATGCATTAAAATTCCGTGAATTGCGTAAGAAACGATGCATTAAAATTTTCCCGAAGCAAATTTTATAGAGGCTTTCAGCTATTATTTAATGAATACAAAAGAAAAAAGGAATAAAAAGGTCACTTTATACGTTCTTGAAGGAAGTGAACGACTAATGACGTAAATAAACCCTTGCCTTCAACTTTAGTATCCTCGTAACTCATCGAAGAAGGAACATGACGTAAGGAATATAACCAATTACATTTTTCTTATTTCTTTCCCCCACCAAAATGCTTTTTTACCCAACTCATTACCTACTGAACTCGAAATTTTTGCAGGTCCCTTGAAGTTCCACTTAGAATCCAAGAGTGGGGGCAAGGATTTGACTGGTGTGACGTTTTGACAACATTAAAACCGAAAGTTATGATTACAATTGAAATGTATCACTGAATGAGCGTTCGAACATAGAAGACTATATCAGAGGCCAACAAAAACCAATTCAAGGATATAGACTTTGTCCCGCTCCATTAAAAAATAATAAGTACGTTTTGACCGAAGTTCCCGCAAAAAATGAATTTAATCGTGACCAAAACTAAAAAAAAAAAAAAAAACACCAAAAACGTGTGTCCCCTATTGGAGGTGTACTATCACAGAGCAAACGAAGCTCATCTCAAGATCGAACTCAGTCAGGGATACTTGAACGACTAAGCTTCACTCTCCAAGCTAACGTTCGCTGGTCAACACACCCTTTTTTTCCACGGCTGAACAACTCGCAGACAGAGACAAAAAAGAGATCCAGGCCCTAGACTCACCGGGTCGTGTTGCAACGAGTTTTCCCCGTCCTGAATGTGGGAAACTACAGTAATCCATCCCCGCGTTCGTTCTCCTTTCTTTCTTTCTCTCCTCTTCTCTATCTTAGCCCAAGCAGAATCTCTTGCATGGATTCTCCAGCCTTTTTTTTCCTGTTCCTTCCACTACCATCTGTTCATCTATCTGATCGTGACTACCAGAGATGCCAGAAACCCCTGGCGTCGTTTCTTGTCTTTTTCTTACCCGTTCTCTTTCTTCGCTTGTTAGTCTCCGCGCAGGTCGCTGTCTGAATATCCGCGCGAACACCGTGATCGGGACAGAGACACAGACCACAAGCTGACAATAAGAGTTCAGTACAGTCCTGTAGCCATATATTGTATAATATCCAGGGAATATTTGATCCCGAATTTAGTGGACCTTTGATTAAATGAAAAGAACCTTCAGAGCTAGGTATTCCGCAGGTAGGGACAGTTACACACTGAATGCGTGGAAGTGTTTCGAATAGTGAAAGTCCCCTCGTACGAACAGAAACTCGGAAAATGTCCTGCAATGCGCAGTCTTTTTTTTTTCAGAAAAGATATAACACGGTAAAATAATCATCCACATGTCAAGTTCTCACTTTTTGGGACCTATCTTATGAATGTGTATTTCAAACCATTCCCAACCATTTTCCCTGAACAACCGTTTGCACATTGAAGCACAATCAATAAAATCCTTTTTCGAAGAAATTCAATACTGTATGTACAGCATAAGGAAAATGGATTCATGAATTGAAGGTATGTACCGGTTATCCTGAGACCATAAAAGTTAACTCGCTCTACAAGAAAATCAGGGGACCATCGAAAAATTCATTGTCGAGAACCCCATTTAACATACACAGAAAACCCTTTGGAACCACGTTATGAAGTACTGTACTGTACATTACATTAAAATGTTTGTAGACAGTCTAGAGACATCATCTATACCATTAATAATTTCAATTGAACTACCCTGCAAGAAACCTGGCCAAAATAAGCATGATGCGTAATACTTTGGCATGGGCACATCTTCTCTTGAAAAAACGGAAGTAGTACTGTAATTACATGAATTTACTAAAACAAGAGGCGACTAACTTGAGCACCCTGCGAAGAACATATACTCAGTCGCCATCACCCGATCACCAGGAGGGACAAAACTGAAACGACTGATTTGACGCTTCCAACTTGAGGGTTGATGGAATAAACAGAATTTGTAAGAAGAAACTGGATTCAAAGCAGATGAGGAGCATGAGATATTCAGAAGTGATCTGGAAAATTTACTCGCTCTTCTCGTGGAAACTGAAATTAAAATCTAAATATTCGCCTTCGCTGTACGAGAAGAGTTGACGGAACGAAAACTACTACTACAAAACATAAAAAGTCAGCCAAGATACCGTAATAACTACAGGTGGAATCCTCAGCACAGAGCAACACTCAAAGGTCCGAACATAATTCGTCTCACAAACAGAAAACTCTCCTATAGGTGGTGCAATTCAATAATAAATTACGCATCCAGGACCATAAAAAAGGTAGAATTCTTAACAAAAGCATGGCAGAATTATATCATCTGCATAGTCTACAGAAACTCCGGCGAAACGAAAAAAAATACCGCACGAATTCGTTTGCTTTACAGCCCTGTTCAATAGCCCCCCTGCTTTTTTTCACATGAATCGCATTCTTTCATGCCGTTCTCTTCTCCACAGGTGACCGAACATCCGTCCACGCCAGTGAATTTTAAAAATTCGAGTCGGCGAAAGTGTTTAGTTCCATTAAGCTGAACGTTTTTTCGTCCAAATGGCACTGTCCGGGGCAGGCACTAGAGACTTCGAAGAGATTTCGAAGCTGGAGTACGATGGGGTGAGTAACTTTTTAATTTCAAAAATCATGAAAAAAATTTACAAATCGCAATCGGAAAACGCGGGGGAATCCACGCACTCAACTCTACGAAAGTTGCCTAGTTCAAAACGAAGCAGCATGTTCACTAGCTCTGAACTAAAATAATGAGCACATTTTCCCCCGGGTATCGGATGACAGTTTCACGCATGATTCCCAGATTAGCAAAACGTTGACACACAAGTACAGAACTTCGAAAATAAACTGACTTTGTTCTCGTGAGTTCAGCAACAGAGGTTTCGGAACATAGCAGATTTATCTTTCACCGGAATGCTAATGCCTCCACAAATAAAAAACGTTCCCAAATTTTCGGCACAGTTTAGACCTCAGAATAATGACACCCCGGACGAATGAATTCAACGATGTCCATAGCTGATTTCCGGCGCGTCGGTGACCTTACGACGAGTATCAGAACAGAAGAAAAACTATATCGAAACAGTTGTAGCGTAACTAGGTACAGTACTGTAGATTTGAATGTCATCTGACGTGAACATCAACAGAAAACGTGAAAAATGTCAGGACTTTCACGCGATCAACAGAATATGAATCATCCTTCAGTACTTCGATGAATAAATCCGCAGCGTCACAGACGAGAACAAAGTGTGAGTTCGAATCCACAAGATCACGATTCGATTCGCAGATTTCGTGGGGAATTCTGAACTGGTTCTAATTTTTCGGAAGGAAAAACTATCTATTTAATCATTCAATCAGGAGGCACTTCTTTCCCGAAAATAACGCTGAAAAACTCGTCGGCACGTATTCATCGCAAGCGGCTTAAAAAAATATTCCTCATGCACGATAATTCAAGAGATCAAAATACAACGATCAACAAGAATTGCGGAAAATCAAAACGATTTCAGTAATGAAAATTGTGAAAATGAAATTTCTACGACGTGACCATCAGAAAGCGCAATGACAGCAAAAAATCCTGACTTCATGCCTCCTCAGACTTCCACGCGACATTTTGACTTATCAAAAAAGTCAGAACTTAGGGAAGACTGTACACAGCACGTCACACATTGTAATTATTCTTCGATGATTTGAGAAATAGTTCCTTTTTCTGCGGGAGACTTCTTTCGAACGTTGAGAAACAAATTTCAAACCGTCTGTCAGTTGAGCGAATTTCGTTCACCTCGAACAAATTTTCATCTCGAAGCGCTGGACCGATCAGATTATGGAAATTCCGCTCAAAGCTGCTTCAAAAAACAAACCCTGACTTTCCGGGACCTTTCCGAAGCAAAATCCCGATTGTCTTGCCCGTGAAATCGCTTTAAAATACGGATGGAAAAGGGAATCGGATAGATACAGCATGACGAAGCACGCGCGTGAATAAAATCATGAATTCAGGCTTTTTACGCGTGGCCGACAACATGAAGGGCTTTTTTCTGACGTCGAGCAGCTCCTTGGATACAGTACTGTATTTGAAAAACAGACTTACCGTACTTGAAAAACGCACGCCACTGAGGGATTTACGCGGTGAAAGAACGGGAAACAAACACGACCGAACTGCGTTGTACAAACCCTGAATCACGTGGCTTAAAGAAATCATCGCTGTAAACATAACACCGGTTAAACACAAAATCGAAAAAATTATGCGGTGAAAATGTCTATAAAGCGACGAAGATGCAACCAATCGTTTATTGCTAAAGAATCAACAGAATCGCATAAATTTTTGAACACTTAATGAATAATAGCCACAAGAATTCGGTATGTAATTGATCGAATAAACAGTTTAGAAGTTCAAAAAATACTACACACGGTACCAGAGGCGGAAAAAATAATTCAATTACGTGGTCTGTATCATTTATACATTTATTTCATACGAACAAGTGTAGATCAACTTCCCGTCGATTCATCAGTTTTTGTATCTTTATCTTACATAATTATTCACGTGTCCTGGCTGCCGATTCCGCGCAATTTAATCTCAGAACGTTCGGATATCTGAAAACGATTTTCAAACGCGTCCAAGTTCGGTAAATGTATCAGAAAATTTGATAAAAACGTGATTCGCGATATTATCCTTCTAAAGACGAGATTCCGTTTCAAAGTTAATATTTCGCAGAAAAAAAGATCAAAGCAAGGAGTACATTTATTTTGTATCCCGCGTTGTGGGAATACGACCCAGGAATTTTTCCGACAGAGATACAAACCTATTTTCGGACTCGTAGAAGCGAAATAAACGAACAGACGGATAAAGGGTTTCCCCGGCAAGGCTATTGAATCCCTGATCTATTTCCGACTTCTGTCGATATAAATTTGTAATATAGATTTCCAAGGGCAGAGGGCTAGAGATGGGGTTCCGCATTAAACACTGGGCCGTGCTCTCTGGCAGAATATCTTATTTTGGATGATCCGAAGAGGGCTATTTTTGCGGAAGAGAATATCTTCGTGTTTAGACACGCAAAAAAACTTAATCCAATGAATCTCAACCAAAAAAGGAATGCAGTTTCCCCTCCACTATTAACACACTTTCCTGAAGTTTAAAAAATAATTGTTTTGCAAATAATGTAAGTCTTGAAATTGACAGGCGTTTTATAATACGGTATTTGCGGAGATATGGCACATAACAATACCGGTACTTACTTTTACGAGTTGTAAACAAGCATCTTAGTGGTGAAGACCAAAAAAATCCGCATTCACGAATTTTAAGAACTATTGTAAAGTACAGCGCGTGAAACCAATACCAAACGAAGTAAAAGAGTCAATAGAAAAAAAGAGGAGGAACATCAAGGAATCTGAAAATGGACAAATATCACGATTCTCAGTTAAGTACTGTACCGTTCTCAGTTAAATATAAGACGCCATGTATCAGCAGGCGTACCTTTAATTTTAACGAAATGTAAGACGAACATCCGTAGGATTCAACGTCTTTCTCATGGAGAGTCGAACGATTTTACGTAAGCTTCAATAACGTGCTCCAAATTTTTGAACAACTTTTCAAAAATATATCAGGATTCCGAACTTACGTCCCTTCGAACAGAAGAAGTGCGTCTAAAATTCGATTGCATTAAGGATAATGATTTCCGTGAAATGAAATAAGACTGGGTAAAACTCACGTGAAATCTGAAGCAGGAACACCTGCGCGGAAGCCGAGATTCACACTCGAGTGACGAAATCGTCGCAGTAACATACACAACGCCGTAACATGCAATGACAGTAACACGGGAATGGTGTGATAATTTTCTCTTTTTATCAATAAAATTTTTGCATCGAGTGGAGGGAGCCTGCCAACTGTCTTTTTCTCGATTTTGTTCACAGATAGTTTGTTGCGTCACTGATGAATAAAGGATTAAAACCACACAGTTGTCGTCAGGTTCCTCTTGGATTGATTGTACAGTACTTTTATTTTAAACGCATTATCCGCGGCTGCTTACGAAAATCATCACGCCGGAAGAATCATGATTTACATCATGCAGCACGAACACGGCTCTTTTTTCAGTTTCATTCCGAAGCGATTCAACGAATCGAACAAAAGCAATCACTGACGTCCTGGAAATAAGAATGCACGAATAAATAAATTCATGAGGGACAAATCCTTCGTCTGCGCAAACACTTTGGGTTGACGATTAAAAAATAACTCCTAATCGTCAAAATAAACTCCCGCAACACTCAGGAGAAATCAATTTTGCACGCATATTCCTCAGATCACTTTCCCTCGCGTGCTTTTCACGGGTGAGAGACGACTCGGGTCCGAAAAAAATGCTTTCCATCAAAATGAAATGATCTGAGTCGTTCGTGATATCACGAACCCCACCTTCGGGGTAACTTTTAAGAACTTTCCAGGAATCCAGCGTAAAACAAGCACTGACACACGCACAAAGAGCCAAGCAAATCTTCCGCAACGAACTCGCGAGCACAAGAGTACCAATCAGAATTGGTTCTCTCCTCGGGTAGAATCCGAATAGATTTCCCGGAAATTTTCCGACTTCTTGGGACAATTAGGGGTAAACATTCCGATAGAACGAACACCCCAATGCCAGAAAGGGAAAAAACGGAAGGGAAAAAAACGGGAGGAAAAAAAACGGAAGGAGTGGATAAACACGGGACGGTTGGGCCTACTTCGTAAGCGTGAACTGCCTTCTCAACGAATCGAGTTTCGTATTTCAACAGGACAAAGAATGAAATTTGGAGAGAAAAAACCCTCTCTCCAAAAGCGGTGCAATGTCCTGGAGTTTCCCTACGCACGAATCATGTTCCACCCGGAGGCATTTCGACGAAATTACCTGTTGCTCCCTTTAAGGGTTATCTATGGGATTCGCGAAGCCATAAGGTTTTTGATTAAGGGTTGCCCAGGATTCGGAACACTTCACTGTACCGTCTCTCACGCGAAATCTGCGATGAAGTGCATGCGATCACAGCTAAATCATTCATCTTGTCGTACGAATGTCGGTTTTGCTTTTTGTCCCGATAGAGCTTCTGGGGAGCTTGGGTGAATGGAGGTTATAGTATTCGTTCAGATTAATACTTGATCAATTCATGACCACTGTAGTTATTGTTCGAAATAAAAAGAGTTTAAAGCACTTTCTCGGTGTGTGCTAAAATTGAATTCAATCTCTAAATTTACAGATACATAAATTTGCTATAGAAATGTAACCCCAACGGCAGACAAGTGAGACAACAGTTCATTTAGGACTTATTCTGTAAGCTCCAATTATCCATGGAATTCACGCTTTCCCACGGAATCAGACAGCCACTATCATGAGACGATGTTTCAACCACGAATACATTACAATATCTTATCTACTTGGGAACATTTTTTCATACAATCGTAGTACTGCCCTGTACTGAAAAAAGGTACATTGTCCGACTAATCGCAAATTTCATGTCTGTGAAACACGGTAAAGAAAAAATTATGAAGTTTCACGAATGGTTGACATGCTGCATATATTGTGCGACTGGTAGCTGCAGAAAATCTCATGGGAAATGATCCCACAGTCCGAAGATCCCACACGAAAGATACGAAGCTTGAAAATTAAAACTGAAAGGAGCACCTAGAATTTTAGGAACAGCTAAAAAATCTAATATACTGTATATAATATACTGTATTGCATTCTTTATTTCTACCTAAGCGGAAAGTTCCAAGTTACAAAAATTCACTGCTGGATTTTTGGGTCGGCGAGACTTCGCGTGTGGACCACATGCTGCACAGGTTAAAATCTTCGACAGTTCTATACGTGAAGTGCTCAAATACTCGCCCAAGGTCTTGAAATGCTGTCTTAGCATTCCTTCTGAAGTCGAGGGCACTTCGCAGAAATTCTTTCAATGAAACTACCATTGGTTTGGTAAACTTGTTCAAGTCGAAAGGTAAATGTTTAAAAGGTGGGATGGATGAGGTGCAGTGAACCACTGCAAATACTGTGCAGCTGACAATTGTGAGAAAAAATGTTCCAACACAGTAAAAATGGACTTCAAGTTCCCCTTGGACCAAAAATTTGTCAAAAACTATAGTGTACTAATTCGGAGATCACGGGACATTCTCCTCAAACCCATCCCGAATGCACAGTACAATTGCATCACAGATCGTACAAACGATGGTATTCAGTTTATTCCTCTTTCCGCTGCATCTCAATGAATCCCATCGAAGTTCTTAAAATATCATCCGTTCTACACCTTCCCACGTAGGGAAAATTAAAATTATAACGACACAACTTAACCCCGTGCTGCCCAGACATCTTCCAAGGGGCGGCATATTTTTACATCGGCACACCGCTTAACCGCGTTTATCACACGTCCCCGGGACATCACAGCACTCCCACCACTTCCTGGAACCAGCTACCCGCAACGCGAACGAATTGAAAACTTGCGGCAGAAAAATAGAAACGAAACAGACAGAGAGGCGGACGGACGGACTGCAGTCTGAAAGCGAATGGAACTTTTCCTAGCCGTCAAACCCTCCAGACAGCTCCTTCTTTTCTGTGCAACCGGCAACAGCGCACGTGAAAGCAACAAGAAGCCACTGAGGGCCAGCCAAACTTAGGAAAGCGTTCCCCCTCCTCCTCCTCCTTTCGAAGACAGGAGCAGCAACAGAACATAGCACCCGCGCGAGGAAACCGCGGCTTTTTTTTTCTCTTTTGAGGCAGCCTCGAGAACATTTCTTTTTTTTCTCATCGTCAGGAATCGAACGAACGATTTTCTCTTCCCTCGGCCGCGAGTTTCACGTGGACGAGCCGGGCCGGCGGGTTTCGCAATGACCGCGCCGGCAAGCTGGCAACCACGGCGCAAGAACAATTCGTGGCACAAAAAAAGGGATTTGAGAAAAGCGTAGCCAATACTTGATTCAATAGTTCCATCTTCAGCAGCTTTTCTCGTGCAACAGTACACTCGAAGCATCACATCCATGTTTCTTACGAGTAGGCAAAACTTTCTTTGGATACAAAAGACGCACTCAAATTGGAAATGTGCGCAAAATCCACAATGATTTAGGGTGGACATGAATGTGACCTCAAATGAACGTGTCAGATAACCGAGCTCACAGGGAAACTGAAGCCATCATCTTGAAATTGGTATACAAATAAGTAAGGGATTTTTACGAACTAAGCCCGAGAAATCTGGATTGTTCTTTCAACTGCAAACAAGCCTGCATTGCTTGGTACCTTCCTTGGATGCATTGGTGATCATTCCAACTAACGTGAACATTTACATGGCCACAGTCAACATTTCGCTCATGAATCTGTTACCATTACTGTGCAATCTCATCACAACAAATATGTCATTACAATACAATCGTTTCTGGTTCCTTATCCGAGAGCCATACTGTTGAAACAGTTTTTTATAACGAATTTGTCATTACAAAGAAGCTACATTTCAACTGGTCCCAATACCTTGGTAGTGATGATACTTATTTGGAGTCGCAAAACCTTCATCAATAAAAGGCCTGATGATTGGCTCAGAAGTTTAGTCTGTTTTACACTTCACTCTACATTACACAATCATTTATAGATCAATATCTTAATTCTTGCTCATTCAACTTTAAAATGACCCAATTATGCTACTGAGGGTTCAATAGCAAGTGAGAGTCTGACATAACAGCGAGCAACATTTTCTCTCATCAAGTTGAGATATGAAGGTTGGACGCACAAATGTCGATTTAGAAAGGAAAAAAAAAGTATCCATCGTACTTACGCGCCAAGCCTAACCACCAAACCCTCCGCCCATCTCTCACGATCCTGCCAGCCACGTGTTGTACCCCACACACGTTGCGCTGCACCGCGCCATGTGTAGAAAAATCCCGCGCGGGCACACACACACACACACACGCCAGGGCCCCATGACGGGGAGCCCACAGGTGGTGGTGTTGGCCCTCACACTCCCTTCGCCACGGTGGCAAGCTTCACATTTTCCTCTCCCACATTTCGAAGGCTGTGATGAAACGAGAGCGGCTTGTTCTCCGACTGCCCCAGCAAACCGAGGAGCCTTCGTGCCCTCCCCTTTTTCCGCCGAAAACGAATGCTCCCGCTTGAATAAAGAACGGGAAGAAAAAGAAGCCGGCGATGGAGGCTGAAAAGGGAAACACGGGAAGACGCTGGGAGGGGAAGTGGGACAAGACTTGGGTCTTGAAGTTTTTTCTTGAAATGCTTCTCATACCTCCTCCCCTTGCCCTTTCCAATTGAATACTCACGAAAAAAAAAACATCTTGAATCAACACTCCAGTCAATCCCCCTTCAGTTCCCTCAAGCCCAATATGTAATCAAAGCTTTCTATTCTACCTACAGAAGGACTCCCTAAAATTATTTCATCAACAAATTTGTGTTTGGTCCCATAGGGTTCTCCACCCATGTTACAGGGATTTTTCTTCTGGTACCTTGAATGTCCTGGGGCAGAGAGTGCATCTGTACAGTAATAACGTGATGGGTCTAACCTCCTGCAGTCAAAATTTCACGGCTTTCCTGCTATAAAAAGTGAGGATCAATTTCAGAACATATATCCCAGAAAACCAAGAAAATGCGAATTACCCATTTTATTTGTGTTCCTTGTGGGATTCGGCATCTCCCTTCACATAAGACATCTAATAATAATGGATAGTTGTAATTCAGTGGCCAGAATACAATTTTCAACTTATAAATAGGGGGCCATGTTTCTCAACTCAATAGCCCTATACAAGTCTGCTCTGTTTTAGCCTCATTCAAATTTGACATCGGGGAGGTTGAAATGTACATTATCTGTTGGGTGCATCTTGTGCTCCACCAGTTCAGTGGGCTTGTTCTGTGAGTCTTTATACAGGTTGAGTTAACTTCTAACCAGATTATTCAATAGGGACGCATTTTCAAGGTTTGCTTCAGGTCACAACTAAGATCATGCTACACTTGAGAAAACAAGCTTTGTCATGTGCGGCAGAAAATACAATTATAGGTCAAGGGTTTTTCTGCTTGGCGCCTCACCTGCTGAATACTTTCCTCGTGAAATCGCCGGAGCACCCAACTCATGTAACAAGTAGCAAAAAAAATGGACCCAAGCAAACCCATCCAACCTTGACAAAATACAGCATTGAATTCCTGGCCAATTTGACTTGAATAAACCTACGCAAGCATGAATTGGCTAGCCAATCTAAATTATCTAGACCAAATGAATTTATATTATTCAAAGGTTTATCTTTTGTGACCAGCCCAACCTTCGCATCTAGATGGTATGACACAGTGGCAGTTCTACCCATCAAAAAGTTTCAGTCATGAAACGTGACTTCACATTTTTCAAGTATTCGGAACCAAGTACCATTTGACTTCTTTTCGACACACACTGCGGTATTTATGACGTTTAGTACTGTACTAGGATAAAGGCATCGTAGAAAAAAGCCATGCCATCTCCATTCCGGACAATCGAGGTTTTTATTTACTTGAATCGTGTTTTGTTTGCCTTCGGTCGTCTTGTGCAACAAACTCGATCCGTTGCGTAAGCTGGTTCACAAACCCAGTATCCCGGCTTCCGTTTTCCTCCCTCTCATCATCTCACTTCTGGAGTTCTGGGTCACGCTGTTGAAAACGCGGTGGAACACAACCCCGCGTCAACAACCAACTGCCACGAATACAGGAAATCACAGCGCACTCCGAAGAGGTAATACAGTATTCGGGAGAACTGAATCAAGATACTGTACAATATTCGAAGGACACAATTCGAATGACTCAAGCAAGGTTGAAATTTTAAAACTAGTTTCCCGCCCCACCAAAAGAGAGCGCATCCATGTTCTCCTCCACTCGTGGTCTACGCAACACTGGCTACTGAGTCGTAATGTCCGCCAGACTGCGACGCAATGCGAGAAGGTATAATCGCAGTTGGCCGTCAGCTGATCCCTTCAAGGATTTTCCACGGTGCCTGCCTTCGCGCAGCTCTCCCAGAAAGAATTTCGTCTGCATGGTCGATTTTCTGGGACAGTTAAAATGTTGGATCCCTTGTTCATCCCAACCATCAGCCCCCCACAAAGGTTCGTCACGCTTAACTTTTCTCTCAAATGCAAGACGAGAAAGGGGGTGCGGATCACATGCACGTACAGCACGGCATACATTATTCAAAAAGCTCGGGGTTTGCAGTATACTTGGTTCTTATGGGGAAACTTTGGACCAAGATTAACAGAAAAACTTGTTTCACTGGGAACAATTTGAAATGTTACTTAAGGCTAAATTCAAATCTATATTTAAATTTATGCATTCTTATCTTCGAAATACTGTATTGCATTTTCAGTGTCACTAAATGGAGTGCAAGTCTTACTGAGATATGCAATCTTTAAAAACATTTGAATTAAAGCCCTGGCGCATGCCTTACCAGAGGGCGTGTGGTACTTGAGCAAATACTGAATGAGCTAGTCCTGAATTTACTTTTCTTTCCCTGCAAATTTCAAATACATCACTGGTTTTTTGGGAGCGGATTGAAAACAAGCAAACTCATCTGCTAAATTCGGCAGGCAGACAATCAGAGCATTTGGAATAATCACTCATTTTCTCACTAAAGACTAGACCCTTCAGAAGTAAAATAGGTCACAGAAAATTCATCAGCAGGAACGTCGTATTTTAATTTCTTGTTTCACTGCGGTTTGACACGTTGACATGTAACACTTTCGTACTTGATTGGAAAAACTGTTCTCAATGGGCTACCTTTTTAATCGGGGTTAGACCTCTTGCCATCTCTGATCTAGACCGAATAACCTGACATACTTCATACGGATAACCGCAAGGTGCGCACGCGAAGAAACAGAACTCAAACGGTCCGCTTGAACAAAGTATACCTACAGAGCACTAGTAATTGCTTAAACGTCTAGGAAGGGCTGCCACATGCGCTCTCAAATAAGGATGGATTTTAGGACGGGTTAGTCGCGCCCGAAGTGTTGCCAAAGTAAAACTTCACAGTGGTTTCCAGTGGCCCCTCTGTGCATCTCGATCATATAGCAAAGGCAGAAAAAGTGGCGCACTTTACCGATCATAGTGCTGTACTCCAGAGCGCGTGGGAATAGCGACAGGATATAGGCATGCAATAAGAAGTTGACTTGGAAAAAAGGACAAAGCAAATTGAACTGAAGATGAACTGTCCAGAACAGAGTTGAAAAATTGTGATTAGTATCAAGAGAAGTTCGTTAGACAATGATGACTCCATACTTTCCATCTACATAGCCATTTCCTACATAAATATTGTATGACATTTGATCCAAGAAAAAAGATGAGCATTCAGAGGAGACCAACATTTGGCCCGACTTCAGTTTACTTACTGGTGTTGGTTCCATGGATGCGGTTCCATGGATGCTTCATGCCCACCGAATGACTCCTATACAAGATCTGGAGAATGAACATTTTGCATGCGCTTGTGAACTGCTTGAAGGCTTGGTAATACAGCACTGGATAACCCATATCAAAATAAATAAGAAGCACTGATTTAAGTTCTCAATCAAAACTGAATCATAGATAGCAAGGTACTTTCATTCTGCATTGAGGGTGACCTCTTTACTGCATTGGTTCTGGATAGCTTCAACATGCCGCAAAAACGGTATTTTTACGATGACCTTGAGCCTGCCCTAGCCGCTCGATTGGCAACCCTGATGCGAGGCCCTGCGTAGATCAGGATGCGACGGAATTCTGGCGAAGGAAACAAAAGCCCTCACTGAAGGCTTAGTCTCTCACTTACACACTCCCTCTTTATTCTTCGCCCCCAAAAATCCTTCCCACTACTGTCCCTCTCCAGCTCTCCTCCTCTCCCACCACCCTTCTCTCCGGCGCCACGTTCGCGCGTCACGCACGCCGCGTATGTTTTAGTTGTAGACGAAAGCAACCCCAATTGTCGCAGTATCAGCTGGATAA